CGAAAGTGCAAACACTGGGGGCAACGGAGGGACCATAGTAGTGATTGATGCCAGACATCACAAAGGGTCCTATGGAGAACACAGATTTGTTCTATCCTAATGTCAGTAGGAACTGCACCCAATGGCACCCTATCCAACCAACCTGAACCTACTGCAGATACTAGACCCTTATCCAGTGACTAGACCCCCCCAGCCTTGTGTATGTAGCCCATAGGCCATGTGTAGTTCTATGTTATGTCCGAAGGCTATATATATGTGTATGTAGCCCATAGGTGATGCATAGTTCTATGTTATGTCCGAAGGCGTGTATGCAGCCTGTAGGCGATATATAGTTCTATGTTATGTCCGAAGGCTAAGGATATGTGTGTATATATAGCCCATAGGCGATATATAATTCTATGTTATGTCCGAAGGCTATGTATACTCTGTATATTGAAGAGAGAGAACGGGGTAAGCTGGACAGGGACCCCCCCAAGGTCCGAACCAAGCTCGAACCCGTGACCTTGTAACATATAATCGAATGACTGTACCATGTGAACGACCAGTGGAAATGGCCCAAACGTGTGATTTGCCAGACTGGGGAGATCAACAGAACACCCAAGACCAACACCCCCAAGCAACCCATGTGAAACCCAGAACCAACATGATACAACACCATGAACAACCCTTGGGTGGTGCGCAGGCAGTGTCTGTAATAGCTAATCTGCATTATCCCAAGGGGGTGTGTGTCCAGCCATGCATCATTCTAACGCCCTGCCGGTGTCCATGCGCGAGTCTGCGGATTTGAACTCGCAACCTTATACCACAATGCGCATTTCCAACCGGTGCTCTAACCACTGAGCCACATCAACTGGACATAAAATAAAATGTCCATTTTAACCAAAATGGCTGTTCAAGGATGTGTGTGTCTTTGTCCTATTGCTTTCTCTGCCCTGAAACCATCAGCATCGTCGGAGGACCATGAGCGACAGAGCCCTCTATATGCCTCTGCCGGATGAGATAAACAAAGAAAAATGGGACATGCTCACAGACACATTTCATAAAACGTTGTGTGGACGCTGTAGAGTTGGATGGACATCCATTCCGACTCCTCTTGTCTTGTTTTTATTTTTTTTCTTCCCCCCATTTTCTTTCTCTTGTTCTTTCGTCTTGTTGTTGTTGTTGTTCTTCTTCTTCTTTTTACAAGAAGGCAACCATTCCATTATATGCCGGAAAACAAGTCTGGCGTCCCTTACATATAAGCCGCAGCCATACAGGGCTGGGAAAAGCACTCCCGACCAATCCCATCCCCGACCGCAGCCAACAAATGAATCAAAGGTTACTCAATTGTTGGAGATCCATTTATTATTTTCCGTTTTCCTTTCCTTTTGTTCCGTGGTGTTGTAAATAGAGTGCTGGGGTCAAGTCCCACTACCAGCAACGCCTGAATCTGAACGTGTTTGTGGAGATGCGCAGATATGTCCAGAACTTCGATGCTACAGCCACCGGCGGGCAGATTTGTAAAAGACACTGCCTGCTACCAACTCCCAGCGTTTCATCACAAAGCCTATCAACAGCCTCCATTTGTGGAAGAAAGGGAAGAAAACAAGCTCACTGGCCCACTGGTGTTTGAACAGTGAACAGTCAGTCCCAGGCCAGAAAGACATAAATAATTTGCAGCTCCGGTGATTCGCGCCAGACAGGTTAAACTGACATATGCAGTGCACATTTTCCCAGTCTGCCCATTTTTCTCCGTCAGTAAAATGTTCTGGCCTCCACTTGGCCGAAACAGGGAGAGCACGCTGCAGACTGGGAGGGGGCCCGGGAGTAGGACGTACGCCATCATATGGCCATTGATTCCAACCCTGTTGTTATTCACTCTGCCTTGTCCTCTTCTGTCCTTTTTTTTAATCTGTGTTGTCTTGCTTCCTTGATCACTTTCGTTGCCTTGTCAACATCCATGAAGATAATGTTGTGCGTGTCCCTATGTTTTTTTTTTTTTTTGGGGGGGGGGGAACATGTCTGTATGTCTGTTTGTCTGTATGTCATTATATGCAATAAGAGAAAAGAAAATTATCATCCAACAAAAGGACAAAATAATAAAATATTGAACATGTCTCCAAAAGGTCAAGCAGCACCTAGTAATAGGAAAAAGTCGAAAGAAAGCGAAGTGGCACTTGCGCAACCATTCTACAACCAAGGGTGTGGCTCCACTACTCTACTCTCGACATGCACAAAAGACAAAAATCATGGCGGTGTATCTTTCCATGTTGTAGCAGAAGATTTACTCTCATTTTGCACATTTTGAGAGTAGTGGAGCCAGGCACCAAGTACCATATTCTACAAGTACCCAGTGGCTGAACAACTCCAAGCTCGGACTCGATGGTCAGGTCATGAGCTTTTTTTTTTCCCTTTAAAAGTCCATGGTGTTGTAGAGGCCAGCCACTGAGTGCACAGGGACCACCTGGAGCAGTAGGTCGTGGGTGTCCTGGAATATGAGACCACCTCCCAACCCATCCTCACGTCAATACTCCTAGCGCACCCCCTATCCCACTATCCTACCTCAGTGTGACCAGCACTCAGGACCATTACCCTACCAATGGGCAGGTAACTTGGACCGAACAGCAGTGGTAGGCACCAGGGCTGATAGGTTGCCCAGCCCTGGTGGAAGCGGAATCGAATGAGCCTTGTCGAACGGAAACTTCGGACGCCAAAATCGAATGAGCCTTGTCGAACGGAAACTTCGGATGCCAGCCCCAGACAATCTACTACAGGCCCCAAGAGACCCTAGGCCCTAGGTTCAGACAGGGTCGCACCCATTGAAGCAGTCTTACCGTCCTTCCCCTAGCTTACCCAAGTGTGTAATCCAAATACAAGACTCGAACACACAACCAACGGCTCAGCAGGCAAACACCTAACCATAAGGCTAAGTGGGCTGGGGTGAAAGTGAAGCCCCAACACGAGCACTTCACCCCACCCCAGCACGGACATCCCGCGACACGGTGTTACAGTACCCAACCACACTCACCCCTACGCAGCCGCACTCCACATATTACAATTTCTACGGCGGTTAGGACCGAACTCGGACTGGCCTGAGCGACTTATACCCCTACCCTTACCCTAGGGTCTAAGCCTTATATAGCCACCAGACAGTTCTATCCGAATATCAGTAGGAACTCGGGCAGCCCTTACCTGTACCTACTGCAGACACTAGACCCCACCCAGTGACTAGACCCCCCCAGTCTGATAGTTGTGTAGTTCGCAATCTATGTGTATATATGTATACTTCGTGTATCTATGTATCAAGATGTACACACAGCACCATGTGTGGAAAAAAAAAAAAAGATGTACACAGCACCATGTGTGGAAACTTGTGTATGTAGCCCGTAGGCCATGTATAATTCGCAAGCTATGTATATGCCCGAAGGCTGTGTGTGCTCTGTGAATCAATGTATCGAGATGTATAGGCAGCGCTTAACGCACACGTGGCATCCAGAGGCACTTGGCCAATCCACATCACAGGCTGACGCGGCGGCTTGCCTGGGGCACTGTGGAAGAGGGAGAATAATGGTGGAAGCGGCTGTTTGTCCATTTCCCCGGTGCTTTCCACGTCAAGTACTCCATAGCCAATGCCCTTATAGAGGCTGGAGCACTCAAGCGAGTTGGCGAAAGTCGACGTCGGTGGAAGAAAGTGGAGTCAGCCCTGTGGAACCAAAGTGTGGAGACCGCTGGACCAGCTTGGAGCATCATCACAGCACGAGGATCGTCGGCGAGATCATCATCAAGGGAGATCTTCTTTCTTCTTGTGTTCTTTTGTTGTTGTTTTTTCCTGTGCAGTTTTTTTCGTCAGAAGGGTTGGTTTATCATCGACATTGTCGCTGGTTGTCTTCACATATCAAAGTTGCTCGTCATATACGTCACCCGCGTTTGTTTTTGCCAGTGGTCGCCATCACTTTTGACAGTGGTCATCATCATCATTTCGCTTCCTCATCTTCTTCATCGTCATTCGGACTTCTCCGTCTTCTATTTTCATTACAGCAATAGTGAGCTGTCAATCTTCCACACCGGTGCCGTTAGGGTATCGCAAGTCAAACGTTCCTTACTTATTTCTCGCCAATTTTATTCCATCATCATCATCATCATCATCATCATCATCATCATCATCATTATTTACCAATCTGAATCTTTGTCATCATCATCATTATTATCATCGTTTACCAATCTGAATCTTTATCATCATCATCATCATCACAATTTGTTATTCATTTTTTCATCAATTAGTAGTTATCTTTGTGTTGATGGTTATATTCTCTTCGTCCAGATAGGTTATGGTCTTGTTGTAGGTAGGTCGGTCCGGAAGGGAGCGCTACTCCGCAGGGGTAACAAAAGGTGGGAGGTGATTGTCGTCTAGGGAGTAGACGCAAATGATGGGAGATGACCTGGGCTGGGGCTGGGCGATATGTATGGGGGTGCATTATCTCCTGGCGGAGGCAGACTAGGTCAGAGTGTTAGATTTGAGGTACATCATCTATCTCTTATCATCCTAAATCATCCGAAATCATCCTAAATCATCCTCAGTCATCCCAAACTATCATCAATGATTATCTATCATGAATGTATTTCATACGTGCAAGTGCACGTCGTGCGCGAGTTTCCCTACGTTCCGCGCACGCGCCCGACCGTTCCCGTGCGGCCCACGAGGTGTGCGGGGAACGGCCCGAACCCCCACTTCCCCCCCCAAAAAAAAGGCGGGGGTCGAAACGACACATTGGAGGGCCCCCGCTAAAATTGATGTCAAGGCCAAAAAAAAAAATTTAGGCCCGCGCTCAAGGATGGACCATGAGGTTTCAAATTTTCGAAACCTGTTTGTAGTACTTTGTACTGTGTGTGGGTGGGTTTGGCTGGGCCTCTGTCGGGTACGTTTATGGTCGGCCACTACCATTCCAGTGAGGAGTGTCGTTGCCATTTCAAGGAGGAGCTGCCACCGTTCTCAAGTGCCGCCCCATGCTGAAGTGTTGCCGTGCTGCCGTGCTGACTTGTGAGGGAGGAGCTGCCGCCATCGCCCCGTGAGTATCACCGGCCTCGACCTCCCCTTCAACCTCCTCACTGCCTCCTCTGCATGCTTCTCCTCTCCTCCCGCTCATCCTCCTCCTCCTCCCCTACCTCGTGGCCCTCGTCGTCCTCCTTCTCCTCGTCCTCGTCCTCCTCCCCCTCCTCCTCCTCCCCTTCCTCGTCGCCCTCGTCGCCCTCCTCCTCCTCCTCCTCCTCCTCCTCCTCCTCCTCCTCCCCCTCCTCCCCTTCCTCGTCGCCCTCGTCACCCTCCTCCTCCTCCTCCTCCTCCCCTTCCTCGTCGCCCTCGTCATCCACGTCCTCCTCCTCTCCCACCCAGGTAACGAATCTATCAAGTCGGTGTCGCACTCCTCCTCCTCCTCCTCCTCCTCCTCCTCCTCCTCCTCCTCCTCGTCGCCCTCGTCGCCCTCCTCCTCCAGGTCGTCCTCCTCCCCTTCCTCGTCGCCCTCGTCATCCACGTCCTCCTCCTCTCACCCAGGCAATGAATCTATTGAGCTTTTTTTTTTTTTTTCAACCTTTTCTCGATTAAATTTTGTGTGTCATCCTTGCGCAGAGGTCGTGCTAATCTTCTCTGTATCGTTCCCAAAGTCACGAAACGGAGGAGGATTGGGAACGATACAGAGAAGATGCACAACCTTTGCGTCAACCTCGTCCTTCTCTCTCACCTAGGTATCCAAATTTAAAAAATAATCCAATCTATTGAGCTTTTTTTTTTTTTTTTGACCTTTTCTCGAATCGTGTGTCATCCTTGCATCAGGGTCATGGTAATCATCTCTGTGTCGTTCCCATTGCAGCCGATGTCCCAAAGGAGCCTGTTTTTTTTGTTCGACGTTTTCTCGGCTTTTGTTTGTCATCCTTGCGCTGGGGTCATGCTGATCTTTAGGGGCCTGTAGGGCTTGATGCGCAGCGGCCGTTACGGCTTGATGTACAGGGCACTTCAGGGGTTCACGTACGTCTTTTCCTCCCTCCACCTCTTCTCCTCCTCCATCTCTGCTCTTCTTAGCCGTCCTCCAGGTCCTACTATAACCCCCCATCTCCTCTCCATATCCCCTCCGCTGGAAAACGCTGGAAATACCGCTCGTTTTTTCTCCCCGTTGTTTCCTGTTCCTGGACTCGGTGCTCGCCATATCCCAGTCTCCCCGCCATATCCCCACCTTCATCTCTCCTCCATGCCTCCACCTTCGTCCTCCACCTGTCCATCTTTCCTCCATCTTTCCTTCATCTCTCCTCCACCCTCCACCTTCATTTCTCCTCCATGCCTCCACCTTCATCTCTCCTCCATGCCTCCACCAGGTGCACCATCATCTCTCCTCCATACCTCCACCTTTCCCCTTTATGTCCATCTCTCCTCCACCTCCGTATCTCGCTCTCTGCCTTCCATCTCTCCCCATATCCCCATCTCCCTCTCATATCCCCTCCACCTTCATTTCTCCTCCATTCACGACCTTTCTCTTCCATCTCTCCATCTCTCCTCCATCTCTACTGCATCTGCCGTACATCTGTCCACTTGATTTCAAGGCAGACAACATACCCCCTTTTGTCCTTCGTTTCTGTTATATAACTTGATAATTGTCCACTTGATTTGAAAATTTTGAAGGGAGACTTCCGAAGACAGCGACTGAGGAGATTGTTTTTTTTTTTTGAGTCCGTCCTGTTTGGCCAGCCGTGTTGAAAGGGGGCGGTAGTTGTGGAGGAGTCTATGGCGGCGGGGGGAGGACACAGAGTCTGGTGTGGGTGAATCAGGGATGTAATGGGAACTATGGCTGATTTGGTGGTCCTGCTCGTTTTTTATCTGTGCAGGTCGCAATGACGAGCAGCAAGCTCACCAGTGACATGGTCAAGTGCCATTTCGTTGTCGTCATCCTCTGATGATGATGATGGGATGATGCCGACGGTGATGATGATGATGATGGTGATGGTGATGATGATGGTGGTGACGGGGAGCAGGACGGAGGTTCTGAATCTTCTGATGATGAGGACGAGGGGAGCGAACAAGAGGAAGAGAGTGGGGAGGAAGGGGCTGCGGAGGGACAGGACGGTGGTTTTGAATCTTCTGATGATGGAGAGGCTTAGAATTATGATCTGGCCCACTGCAAACTCTGAGCTCTACGGCAACAATGCAATTCACTGTTTTGCTGACTCAAGGTTATATAACTGACTTAGCAACATTGCAATGGGGAAGCTCTTTAGGATGTTGTCTTGTCCCAGGCTATTTGTGGTTTCTTCATGATGTGTCCTACAACTTCGACTTTCTGACAGTGTGTCCCTCTGCAGTTGTCTGTTTTCATGATGAGGCACTCAGATGCAGTGTTTCTGCATCTGCAAACATGAACAGGTGAGTACCGACCGAACAACCTGCCCCACCTGCTGCATGAAATTTGATGTTCTTGCAATGTCGTAGTTGGCAGTTGCGGAGTTCAAAGTTCTCAAACTCCAAACTTCAAAGTTGACGCTTGAAACTCAGTTGAAAGTTCACTGTTACTGGTTCTCAGTCGTACCAGCACAGGTAACACCTCTC